TTTCTGTCCTTGACACACATGCACAGTAGTGGTAACTGGGGTAGGCCGTGGACGTCACAAGACATTATACAGACAGGCTCTGGGATCATGGCTACCCAGCAATGTAGCTTAAAAGTGTGGGATCATTTTAAGAAAATGAAAGAGAAACCTGTGTAATATCTGCAGAGCAGAACTTGCCTTCCACAGCAATTATTTTTAGTTAGCATATAGCTAAAATCTAACAATGGTTATATAATAGCATCTGCATTCTGGCGCGATAAGCTCTATGTTTTATATTCAATTAACATATGATCCGATTGGTCGACTAATCGAAAAAATAATCAGTGATTAATCGATTATGAAAATAATCGTTTGTGGCAGCTCTAGTCTCCAGCATGAGGTCATGTGATTTGGGAGAATAATTTCACATCAGTCTTGATGTCTGTGATGGACTTGCGACCTGTTCAGGGTGTACCCCACCCCTCGTACAGTGACTGCTGGACATGAACACCAGTGACCCCCATAACCCAGAAGGAATAAGCGGATAAAGATAATGGATGGATGCCTTCAAAGAAAGATGGATCAATGGACTACATAGCACTACGCTGGGCTCTAACCTGAATTTAGGTGCATTTTTAATAAAATTAAAATCCATTCATTGGCTGCATTCATTTATCTTTCCATTTTGGGTTTATTTTGTCTCCTCTTTACCTTGAACAGAGRCTTTGACACTTTCGTATTTCACAAACCTACCCTGGCTTTATTTCCAGGTTTTTTTCCCCCTCAGATTTCTTCTCACTGCTATGATCCACTGGTCTGAAGGGTGAAATCCTTGGATTTTGATAATCCCAAGCAGATGTAGATCAAACGCTGGATGAAAAGCTGTGGATTTGTGCACCCCAGTGCAGGGATTGTAGCCTTCAGTATGATTCCCTTTCTTATAACTTGGGTTTTTAGAAAGGTTCACTCTTGGAGGGAAGGAAATGTTTCCTCCTGTTTGATATTGCATAAAGTTAGACAAATGTATGATTTGTCAACTCATTCCAGCGTTAAGAGCCTCATAATATCTACCATATTGTATAAAAAAAAAAATTAAACTCATCTAACCCTCCAGGGTCTAAACATGTCAAAACTTCTGTTTTTGAGACTTTAAAGCTCAGCCTTCACATGAACACTGTAAAACATCTGGAAATGACCACCTGGACTTTCTCTGCCGCGGCTGTATGACCCTTTTTTTTTTTCCAACTCCCACTTATAAACTTTTTAACAAAGGGCGTTGAAGGGTTTTAAAAGTAGGAATACTGGCCAAGCTTCTGCTTTGGACTGTAAAGGTGTCAAATGTAACGTGACGAAACAAGAACATGAAGTACTTCTTTGGGATTTTCCCCATAAATACAGGTTTTCAGTTCGGAAACTGGGAGGGCGAGGTGAGTGGGTACAGAAAGACCCCACATCAACATGTTTGGGTTAGTTAATTGTAGGGGGAAATTATTGATTTGGAACATTTAATTATGTTTTGCCTGGCATTTCCCACTCCCTCCTCTGTTTTTGATACAATCTGTTGTTGCGCCAAAAATTAGCTGTTTTTGTTGTTAGAAAACATCGAGGTAAAAACCTCACATTGTGTCTTGAAAGGAAGGAATTTTGGCCAGAAACGCCAAGTCGCCGATACTGATCAATATCACCATGTTAGTATTTTGGTTTTCATTAAAATATTGTGACATAAATTTGATTTATTGTCAGGAATTACCCACAATAAATCAGGCTAATTACTTTGGGGATTCCCAGTCTCATTACTTTAATATAGTGCCACCATGGTTTAACATTTGTGGACTGTAAAATGTCTTGACATCTATCGCTTAGAACTCTGCGAAGTCTAGCACAAACATTGATGTTGTCTTATGGATGAATTATGATAATGATTATGATTGATTAATACTATTGTTGGGGCAATTTTTTCAATACGTATGCTTTTTAACGATCAGATCAAAGTATTGAGTGGAGCTGTCTATGACRTGTTTGCAAGATGGACTTAAGCTCCTGCTGTACTGTGCTAAATACAAAGTAGAAGCCAATGAGTCCAAAGTCATTTGTCATCCCCTGAACATGAGATGTTTTGCTGTTTGTTTCAGCTCAAAGACAATGCAATACGATCCCAGTTTGCCTGCACATACAAAGATGAAGAGCTACCACTCAACCGAATCCTGGACTTCCCATCCACCAGCCAGATGCCGACCTGCCTGCACCCAGCACCCAAGCTAAAAACCACCTTACATGTGGTTGACAGCATCGGCCCTGATGTGGAAGAAACTAGAGGAGCAGGTTTGATTATTTCTTTTGAGTTTTRCATGAATTGCCTTCAGTATTCAAAGATCAGCACAATTTGTGCTGCATTCTTTGTGACTTCAGCTTCCTCTGATGCTTCACAGCTGGACCAAAACCCTGGCACACCTTCTTTGCTCAGGCCTTGAACTTTTCCTATTCCGTACTGTGGGACTGGTGCTTACCATCAGCCATTAAATTAATCTCCATACTATAAAATCTGATAACCCCCAGATCTACAGTAAAAACCACAAGTTGCACACAGACTTTTTGCTCGTTTTTCTTTCTGTTTCGGTCTGTGGAAGGTCAGGCAAATGTTTAATTTCTCCCTCATAGAATAAACACGACGCCTGCTAGAAACAAGTGGCGAACATTGGCGACTTCGTCACAGCGTTTCCTTTTTTCAGTTCCAACTTTTTAAAAATCCTGGGTTTTGCTTTGTTTCAAACCTGCAGCCAAGTCGACCCGCGAACGCCGGAAAAAAGAGCACAGTAAGGCACACCAGGAGACTCTCAGGCAGAGAAGTGGAAACGCTCAACGCGAAGGTGCAGGATCGAGTGAAAAGAGAGCTGGCGATCGGGCGCAGAACAAGGGTAACAAGAGGAAGCAGCTGGATTCTGATCAGCACAGCAGATCTGAGAATGAGCCTCCAGAGAAGAAACCGCACGCTCATGTGTCAGTCAAAGTGCCCGGCAAACATGTCTGCAAGACCTCAAATAAAAAGAAGCTACTAGCTGGACAGGCGAAGCTAACCAGCTTCYTCAGGGTTTAGACTTCACTTTCAACAAACTGTAACACAATTGGGTTTTAAAATGTTTGTGAAAATTAACTTAATAGTTGATTTCACCCTCTGGCACATTTTGGTGCATGACCCCTCCAAAACACTATTTAATTATCTTACATTTTGTCACTTTTTCATTTTTCAAAAGTTTAATGAAATGTTTACTATCATTCAGTTTTGCTGTTACGCAATGAAAATTAGTTGTCGTTTCAAAGTTGCCTAAAACAGGCAGAATTGGCTAATGGCAGCTAACTCAGATTTGTTTTTCTACTTTGTAAACAAGCAGGGTAAAATGGTTGTTTAAGAACATTTGATATTTTAAATTGTACCTCTTTGTGTTTATTATAAACTTCAAAATTAACATAAGTTGAGCACTGATTCTCCTAAAAATCTAAAGCCGCGAGGAACTGCTAATTACCTGCTAGTGAAGTTACAGTTTACCATTTTTGGAACAATAGTAATCATAGTGTAAAGACAAGACCATTACAACTTTTTATGTCTGACTATAAAACTACAAATAAGCAGGAAACTACGCCAACAGAGCTACTCATTTTACCCTGCTTGTTTACAAAGTAGAAAAACAAATCTGAGTTAGCTGCCATTAGCCAATTATGCCTGTTTTAGGCAAYTGTGAAACGGCAACTAAATTTTATTGCGTAACAGCAAAACTGAATGATAGTAATGTCCAAAATATGTTCATTGCTCATGTTGCAGGCATTAGCTTCTTATTTAACCTTTATTAATTGAATTCTGATAAACATTATGTCTAACTCATTATTGCAAGCTGGGATCAAGTAAAGAACGTAAGTAGTATGAGATGGATAGTTTTGTTCGCAATCCAACATCTAACTTGAAAAAGAATTGTATTATTATTATTATATATTTTTTCAAATAATTATTTAGTGGGTTTGGCTGATGCTTATTTATTTTTTTATTGTATTGATTTATAATTTTTCTAGGTTAAAGTAGCGTTGTACTGTTTAGCATGGAAAATGCTTCTTCAGTGCGCTAATACGTAATGAAGGAAATAATCACTTGTACAGTTTGACCTTTTCTGAGCTTTGTAAAATTACAACATAGACTTCRTTTTCAATAAACTTTATTTGGTTTTACATGCTTGTTCTCCTGTATTTTCTACAACACTTCAGTGTAACAAATAATGAGGGAACTTCCAAAGTATGTTCAATGCTCAGCAGAAAGTAGAGGAAAGTCTTTTGTTTCCCAACAGGGTCGGTATACTCTTCCAATCATACATCGCAGCACTAGGAAAGAAGAAATGCATGTAAATTATGAGTTTATAAAACTTATTTTAATAACACAAACATTAGGGGATAAAGAGGAGTAAAGATATTTGAGTTATAGTTGCATGTTTTCCAAAAACTTACTGTCAAGGTCTTTCTCTCGTTTTTCTATATTCAAAGCGAAGTCATCAGGAACGTGGCTCCGGGTTTGTTTTGGGATCAGAGGACGGCTCCGGGAGATGGTTGGGTTCAGTCCACGGACACCGTGTCCTCTCAGCCCGGTGCCCTGCAACATTTAAAGCAGTCATCACATCCTGAGCTCACATAATTCACACGAATGTAAACTGATCAGCTTCCAGCGACATCTTTTAAAGATTGTTTTTACTTTTTAAGTGCAGGTTTTGTATCTGCCTTCACCTGCTGATGTAAGATGCATAAACTCCAAACGGAACAAACGTGTTTTCTCTCTTTTTTGACTTTATCACAGTAGTAACCCGTTTTCTCCCATAAATGGTTCACCCAGATGTTTGTGTTGTCTCCAATACAGTTCTTTGTTCCCCATTACCACAGAGATAACCACTGTGTTCACGACACACCAGAGACCCAATTGCCAGAAAAACCACACAGCAGCCAACACTTTGATGGGAGAACCAATATATCACCATTCTTCCCACTGTGATTTCACTAAACCTTTATGGACTTGTGATTGTTTGACCTTTTCGGGTAATACCATTTTCCACTTTTCCAGTGCTGCCGTAAAATCATTTTATAGGCACGTGTGTTAAATATTGACTTAGCGGTAGACGAGCGGACAGTGGCCAACTCAAAGGGGTCACATGTTCATTCACAGAATGGAGATAATGTGCTCTTTGTTGTTGAACTACAGTTAGCGGTGATTTATTTCTAGAAATATTTAAATAGTTATGATGTATGACTGTCTTTTAAAGACATGTCTTGAGAGTTTGGAAATGAATTAAACTCTAGTATTGGCTCAAAATGCTAAAAAACTAACAAAAAAACAGACAAGTCAAACTAATATAGAAATAAAAAGTTGTATTTTACCTTTTGGGTTTTATGTTGTTTGCCACTTTAAAAAGCATTTATGGCAATCGATATAGAAGTTGATACAAATGATAAAAATATCAGTTATTTACTGTATCTAATCTATAATTTCTCTTATTTTTAATAACAGTTTTGTTATACTTACTGAAATGATGAGGATTTTTGGAGTCCCATCTTCCTTTATGTTGTCCACCATCATGTTCCGTCTGTCCAATGTGGGAACCCAAACTGGCTCAGCCATGGTCTCGTCACCAAGGACCGAGTCCAGACTTTCTTGATCTGCTGTTGGGACGTCTTCTGCTTCAGCTGAGAACAGAGCCGCAGTGACCAAGTGGCTGTTCAGATCAGAGAACAGCACTAAGGTGAACAGGACCGAGAAGACGGACATCATCGTAGCCAGTTTTCACTCTCAGTACTTCTGACTTTCACCTCACCTAACAGCTGATGTGGTTCGGATTTAGCTGCTTTTATATACTGAAGGCACAATAAACTCTTCTTCCATGTTCAAATGATGCATCCATGTTGAAAGGTTGAAGGCCACAGGAAGTGTAAAGGTGACTTTGAATGTGCTACAACCCCATTAACAAGAAAGAACGTGGAAATAATAGCTTTATTTATTCTATTATAGATGYGATGAACTCACATCACACGTCGTGTTTCTTCTGATTGGAAACATGGTGGGCTCCTTCGACCCCATTAGAGAGAGGTTGGACAGGCAACAAACAAGGTCGTAAGGGCAGAAAATAATGCTAGATACTAAAATTAATTCAGCAGGTGGCACAGCAGAGACTGGGTGCTTCAAAAGATGCCCACGGATAAGACTGGGACATGAATGAAGCGATGTAAGACCTTCAAGCTAATGGGACTGAAGTCACATTATAGAAAATAGCTAGTTAAATGTATTATGTTTTTAAAATGGTGAAAACATGAACCTTCCTTTGGACTTAGGCTGCTTGGTTCCTTTATGCTGAAAAGAGTGACTTAGCACAACTAGCATTCTGAAATTTGTCGTTAACACTGCTGTACTTTAACTGGAAAGACGCTGGCTACAGCAGCCATAGTGAGAATGCATGATTTCACAAATCAGCGAGGGGGYGGGGTTAAACTTCAAAAAGCTTTCTTTGAGAGTAACAGAGATGTGTACACATTAAAAAGTTTTCTTATATACACTATACTGCCAAAAGTATTGGCTCACCTGCCTTGACTCACAAATGAACTTCAGTGACATCTCATTCTTAATCCATAGGGTTCAATAGGACATTGGTCCACCCTTTGCAGCTAGAACAGCTTCAACTCTTCTGGGAAGACTGTCCACAAGGTTTAGCAGTGCATTTATGGGGATTTTTGACAATTCTTCCAGAAGTGCCTATGTGGTAGTGAGGTCACATCCTGAATTGTAACGTAGGTCGTCTTCACACCTTTTAGTCCAGTAGACTCGGTTCAATTGGGAACCAAAATTGCAAGATTTGTTTACATTTTCAGTTGGTGCTGTTCACATTCACACTGCACTTTGTCAAACAAATTAAACCCTGAGAACAGCCTGATGTCCCCCTGCCCCCTCACCTGTGGGGGCACTGCGCCAAGAACTGCTGAAGGAATCAACACGAAAACCTCTGAAGAAGACATGAGTGCAACTTCCTGTTCCCAAGATGTAAAGAAACAAAGAGTAACGTTMAGATTTTAGTGGTTGTAGGATGTAATTTTTTGTTGTGCCAAATAAATAGTCTTCAACAATGGACTCAGCCTGAGTGGAAGATGAGGCGGCTGAGACTGCTCCATGTGAGGCACTGTTCACCGAGCGAAGAGGAGCGTATCCAACTTCACAGCAGTGATGTCCACCTTATACAGACATCGAGCGAGGTATTTACAACATATGAGAAACTTTATTGCTGTCATTACTCAGAATCCGCTTCCTGCTTTTGGAGCGGTTCGCTTGGCATTCACACATGCAATCGAACCACACCAGTGTTCCCTTCAGCCGAACTGAGACCTACTGTGAGGTTGTGTTTTGTGTCTTTTGTCATACCTCCCTCTTGTGTTCTCTTGTYGTCATTATGCCTCTTTTCCCTCAAATTGTTTACTTGTCATTCATCTTGTCACACACACCAGTCAATAGTTTCTAATCATTGTTTTCCCTCAGCTGTTGTTCATCTGCTAATTTCTTCTGTTTGTTTAAATACTGGTCATGTCCTCCATATCCTCGCTGGTTCATTGTTGGTTTTTCCACTGTTTGATGTTCCTCGTCGTCTTTAGAGTTTTAGTTCTTTTTGCTGTCCTGTCAGCTTTTTGTTTTTGTTTAATAAAGACTTTTTATTTAAACTTCATCCTCCACCTGGATTTGAGTTCGTCCCTCTCTGCATCTTAACAGAATGAACCAACCAGATTATGAACTCACCGGGAGGATGAATTATTTTGATTTTTTTTTTGAGTGGTGTGAGTTATTTTTTGGCATTTGAGGAACGGAGAAAGAACCTTGCCAGGGGACGAAGGGGCCGTGACCGGGAAGTGGAGGTTCTCCCGTCGCCTCTTCTAGTGGAGGAGGAGCAGAGGAACATGCACTTCTGGGGAATTCACCTGACACTGAAGTCCACTCCATCATCCGGTCCTTCTCAGCACCACTGTCGATGACGGAAAAAAGCGGCGGCTCCTCCCAAGCCRTCTGGGTATTTCCACTCTGAGCCCTGTGACAGTGAGCCAGAGTATGACCCAGACTATGATCCGGAGAGTGACCAGTTCTGTCCTGAGTATGTCGGGTACTGCTCAGCCGGGCCGATGGTTTTCACCTCTCCAGTGCTGYCTCCGTCTCTCCCGCCAGGGTCTCCTCCGAGACGGTCCCGGATGCCTCCTCCAGTGTCACCCCCCAAGAGGGTCCCGGACACCTCCTCCTCCAGTGCCGCCTCCGAGGGGGTCCTGGATGCCTCTCCCTCCAGTGCCTCCTCCGAGAAGGTCCCTGAGACCTAGTACTGTCTGCGCTCCTGCAAAAATCGATGCTTCAACCTCCTGCGCTCTTCGCGCCTCTAAGAAGGTCGATGCCTCCACTACTACCAGCGCTCCAGCGAGGATCGATGCCTTGACTTCCTACACTCCCAGTGCCTCCAAGAGGATCGATGCTTCCACCTCCATCTGTGCTCCCCAGAGGATCGATGCATCCACAGCCTCCTATACTCCGGCGAAAGTCGACGCTGCTACCTCCTTGTGTGGAGGGTCTTAGGGGGGAGGAAGTGGTGGTCACCGCTCTAGCTACTACGGTCGTGTTCCTGACTGCAGCTCTGGTGGAGGTGTTATTCATGCCTRCTGCAGCTCCAGGGCCTTCAGAGTCTGAGTCAGCTTCAGAGTTTTCAGAGCCAGAACCAGCACCTGAGCCTACTGAGCCCCCGGGTCAGATTGTGAAGTCCCCGGGTCTGCCTGAGGCTCCCAAGGTCTCCATACTGGTCTCTGCCTCTGAGATCTCCAAGTCAGCTGGTTCTGAGCTCTCATCTGCTGCAGCCCCATCTGAACCACCAGAGCTCCGCCTCTGACRCGGTCGGATCCACAGCCGCCCACCAGAGCTCCACCTCATTGTTGTTGGGCCCCTGGGTGCCCACCTGAACTTTTTGTCCTCTTTAGATGTGCCTAGGACATTCTCAGTGACCATTTTTGTTGTATTTTCCCAGGGGTTTCCTGTCGGTTTTTGTTCTCTGTTTTTTTTTGTTTCCTTCGTGGTCTTTTTTCTCGTGCCCTCCAGGCTGTGTTGTTGTTTGTTGTCCCCCCGCCTCCCTCCCGTGTTCGTATTGTYGGGTGACGATACGTAGAGGGGAGGTACTGTGAGGTTGTGTGTTTTGTGTCTTTTGTCATACCTCTTTCTTGTGTTCTCTTGTCGTCATTACACCTCTTTTCCCTCTGTTTACTTGTCATTCATCCTGTCACACACACACACACCTGTCAATAGTTTCTAATTATTTTCCCTCAGCTGTTGTTCATCTGCTAATTTCTTCTGTTTGTTTAAATACTGGTCATGTCCTCCATATCCTCGCTGGTTCATTGTTGATTTTCCACTGTTTGATGTTCCTCGTCGTCCTTCGAATTCTAGTTCTTTTTGCTGTCCTGCCATCTTTTTGTTTTTGTTTAATAAATACTTTTTATTTAAACTTCATCCTCCACCTGGATTTGAGTTCATCCCTCTCTGCATCTTAACACTTACGTTTTCAGAAGGACCAGAGTTTGCTTTTATGGTCCGCATCAAAGGTTGATTACAAGTTCCCACCTCCTTAAATGAACAGGACTTTCCAGGCTAACAAACTAGAGTTCAATTAAAGTGGACTAAACAGGGCTGGTGTGAATACATCCATATGTTCTCATTAGATCAGATGATTTTTTTTAATGACAAGAACAAAAGTGCTGACCATCAGCTGATTATAAAAAGGCGGAGGCAAGCGAATAATGTTAACACAGCTCCTCGTGGGCTTCTTCCCAGCTCAAAAGGCTTACCTTATTAACATCAGAGAAGCCGTAGCGCAGGGGATGAAGCACCAGGGCATGAATAATAACTATGGATCTCAGCTGAAGTGATTTTACTTGGAGCGGTCAGCCTTTATTTTGTAAGTATTATTGTTGGAGGGCCAGGGCTTCTACTGAAGAAGTGAACTTGTCTGCAGGGGCACGGCTGTTCCAGCAGAAGTACAACTGAACCTCAACCTGAGCTTCTTGCCCTGTTGTTTTAACCTTCCTGGCTCTTTCCTGCTCTTTGATAATGCTGCCTTCCCTGTAACCAAATTTCTCAATTTATGAACCTTAAACGGACAGTGGACAAGACTGCACGTCAATGATTCGAGCAGAAAATAACAGAAGATCCAATGAACTCTGAGCCGGGGTGAAGGCTTTTATCTGATATCTGTCAGATTGTTTTCTCTGGTTTGGGTTTCTGAGAAATCATTACCATAAGGCTTCAACAAAAAGCTCAAATCTTAGGAAGTTCTCGTTACCAAAACAAGTTTTATTGAACATTTTATGCTACTCATAAAGCTGCCGCTGACTTGTTGTTTTAAATTGCAAACACGTACAAATGTTGAACTCAGAGCAACTGCAGAGTGTTTTATTCATCAGCTCGACCCGATGCTTGCAGCACCTGTCAAAAAGAGGTGCTCTATTTCAATCACACCACCTACGTCTTCGTGTGTAAAAAGACAGAAGTCTGAGTGCTATGACATCAGTAGCAGCATTGTTTCACAAGCTTCTGAGGTCCAAAATGCTATTTCCTCATCCTGCTTTTCATCACAGACACTCATCTTCTAATGAAACAGACAGACACGGCTGCAGCAGAGGGGACACGCCGGCTCCAGGGGAACGTGACGCTCTGTGCAAGGATGCTTCCCGTGTGTGTGTGTGTGTGTGTGTGTGTGTGTGTGTGTGTGTGTGTGTGTGTGTGTGTGTGTG